CGGCCCGGCCCGGCCCGGGTGCTGCCGCGCAGCCGCTCACCCCACTGCCCTTGGTTTTCTCTCCCCAGTGCCCGGGGTTGCGGAGTTCGCCGCCTCCTTCAAGAGCGTGAGTGATCGTTGTTGCCCCGCCGGTCGCGGTTACCCCTTCCTGTGCAGCGGGAGTTCCGCTCGTTCCCCTGGCGGGCTTTACTCCTTGGCTCTCTGAAAGACAGCTCAGTGGCCGCTGCAGGACCTGCTGGCACAAGCCTCTTGTTGTCAGTATCTCATGTATTTTGTGTCAGTGCTTGATGCAACTTGCTGTGAATGAAGATGGCACCCAAGGAGTCCTGCTTTCCATACCGACGGCACCTTGGGGGTGGTAGTGTGCCGGTTTTAACCCTAGACTAAAGCCCAGGGAAACCTAGGAGACAGTATTAAATGTACTAATAGCTTTACAGAGCACCTGGAGCTCTCATGTTTTTGCTGCCACTGTGACTAGTTTTCAATATGAGGTCAGGCTTCTCTGTATAATTCTAAAAATACCCTCATGCGAGTGTGAACTTCTGTGTTTTGTTTTTCTCCAAACAGCCTATTACAAGCTCTCCTCCCAAGTGGATGGCTGAATTAGAAAATGATGATATTGATATGTTAAAAGGTGAGTATGGACATTGTGGGTAGGAAGTAAGGTTGCCAGAGCAGACAGGAATTCAGTACTTAGTCAAGAGGCTTAAATCAGGAGCTCTAGCCCTCCCATTTGCAGAATCTCCAGCTCAGGAGTCTCTTTATCTCATTACAGATATATATTTTTTGTTAATCCAGTTATCTCCAAGAGAATATCCAGATGGCACTGGCATGCTGGTTTTTCAAAAGAAGCATGCAAGAACTAGTTGAAGCAGCATGATGTCGTTTCAGTCCCATGGTTTATCAGTCTCCCACTATGTAACTATAGTGGGCATCTCCTGTGGCTTGGGAAGTGGCATGAATTTTTTTGTGACCCTCATCAAACATGATGAGCAGTGTAGACTTTATTAAAACCAGGGATGGCATCAGCTTGAATTCTGAATATATTCTGTTCACTGGATAATGTCCGAAGTAGGATTTGAAAGTGCTCTGTGAAGTAAACAGGTAAACTGTCACTGCAGGGCTGTAGCTAAAATTCACACTTTTTCTCTCTTCTTAGAGCTGGGGAGCCTCACAACAGCTAACCTGATGGAAAAAGTTCGTGGTCTGCAGAACCTGGCTTATCAGCTGGGCCTGGATGAATGTAAGTGCTGTGTGTGGCTGGGACTGACTGCATTGCCAGTCTTCCCACTAAAACGTGCACTTGTGGTATGTTGCAGCTGGCAAGTGTCTTACAGTTAGTGACCTTCCAAACCAGGGGGAGAGAGAACAAGCCAGGGCTACCTGCATGGGGGAAACAGCAGAAATTGTAAGAGGCCACACGTCAGTCTGGTGTTGCCTAGTGGCACGTCAACTTTTGTTCCTGTCCTAACACTGAATTAGGTACATCAGGTCACTTTGCTTAGTTTCCCACTTGGATGCTGAAAGTAATTGTCAAAACACTTGTGGCAGTAGACCTGTCAAACACCATGTTTGCCTCCACAGTGAAATTTTCACTTGTGTGTAGGATTCTCCCATCACTTAATGCTCATACTGTTTTATGCTTCTGTAGCTGTTACTTTTTTCTACACTCCATTATGTCAGGAGGTGATGTCGTTAAGTACTAAAGTTGGCCTTCATCCCACTTACAGCCAATTTTTATGAGTTTTTTGAAGAAAGAGCTGCTTTCATAATCATGTTTTGGACTCTGTTGTTAACAGGTTGGTCCAGCTCTGAGGATTTAATGAGAATTGCATTTTCTTGAAAGCTACCTGTACATATTGACACATTTAATTTTTTTCTGATAACTTTACTCTAGCATAGACCTTGGCTGCAGTTGCTCTTGGGCTACACAAAGCACTAAATATTTTAAACTTGGAGTTCTTTCACCTTCCTTCCGGTGGATAACAAAAGCAGTAATAGACCTTAAGAGTCTTCCTTGCTGTAAGTCTAAGATGCTCTAATGCTTTCTTATTAACAGATCATTAAGCCTGTTTTAACACAGTCCCTGCAAATTTATTTCACTTCCAGTGCTAACATCTGTTAAGACTGATAAAGTGTTTAGTGGAGTAGGAGTTAAAGTATAACCATGTGAAGCCAATCAGATACAGAAA